CCTCTCAGCCTTCTCTTGCGGAGGCTGAATAGATCCAGTTTCTCTAGTCTCTCCTCGTAGGGCTTGGCCTGCAAGCCCTTAACCATACGAGTGGCCCTTCTCTGGACCCTCTCCAGGTTATCCGCATCCCTCTTGAAGTGCGGCGCCCAGAATTGCACGCAGTACTCCAACTGCGGCCTGACCAGCGCCCGATAGAGGGGAAGTATCACCTCCTTGATACATAGGTGGAGAGGTATTGTATTGTGAACAGCTAGCCTGGGGGCACATCTACACGTGCACATTTACTGCACAGTAACCAAAAATACTGTGCAGTATGGGTGTGTGCCTACATGTGCATGCCTGTACTGTGCAATAAATATGGTGATTTATGCCAATTTGAGCATAAATTTGGTACCTGCATCATGCAGGTATCAAATTTATTCCCAATTTAATTACTGTGCTGTAACGCACATGAAGATGCCTACTGCACCATAACACTGTGTGTGTTGACTGACTTGGGACTAAGTCAGTCCACACACCGTGTTAATGCACTTTAACGCCTGCACATGTAGACGCTGGCCTATTCCCGCTTACTGTGCACTAATTTGCTGCGCAGTAAATTTAAGCTGGCATAAATGTCACATATAACATGAAACATTTTCTCCAGTTGACGAGAAACTAGAAGATATACTAATATGCTAGATGGCCTAGTGCCATATTATTCAGTTTAAGATCAAAACAGAGACAAATATAACTCTATCAGAATGCACTCTAATATGCTAGGTTATATAGTCAATTTAAAAAGCACAACAATCTAGGCCAAAATAATCCAAAGATATTATTTTAGTAGTCTGTAGTCATTATAGTTAAATGTTCATCTCTTACTCAGATTCGTAAAATAAAAACTAACCTTTTTGACATTGCACCTAACACTTGTCAGTCATGTGCACACGTGAGTCAATGTGCACCCGAGTTTAATATGACCATGAGTTAAGGTTTTTAGCTAGAGCTAAAACAATGTTCAGGGCTGTGAAATAGAAGAAAGGCATTACCAGGAATGGCTAATAGCAAAATGACAGATGAAAGGATAACTGATTTTTGGAACATCAAGATCATTAAAGAAGGAGAAAGGGTCATTAACACCTATACAGTGGAGGGAGATTAGCAGGAATCAGGTAGATAATAATGAGTTGTGAAGTCAATTGACTCTTTCAGCACTGCCCGAATAGAAATGCCACTGCCCCTCCCAGGCAGTTGGGGTTAAAGTCTGGGGGGGACCACTGCACTCCCACCCCCCATCCACCCCCGCCCATCATTATTTCCACGTGGGAAGAAAAAACATTGTAACACTCAACAGTGCCAATGTGTCATCTGCCCAGGCCCTTTGCAATGCATTCGAATTGTGGGTATATTCAAAGCTGACATCCAAAGCCTTTCCCCACCCAGTACCACTGACACAGTCTGCTTCTGTTACCTCCTCATTGAAGGGAAGAGGTGGCACGGTGGGGTCCAAGCTGAATAACTCCTCACACAGAAGCGCCCTCATACACAGAGCGAGGCTGTCCACATCCCTCGCTATGGGCCCCACCATGAAACTAACTGGAAAAGAAACGTAGACGCCCACAATTTCAGGAAGCAAGACATAGGGAGCCTGATTCAGGGAGCACTGAAGTCATAAGGAAAACACCCGCCCATTTCCTTTGGGTGCATGTCAGATCACTGGTATCTAAGGACATTAAACCATCCCGGTTCGTGTCTAGAAAAGAGGCTTAGTCATGACACTCTGAGACTGGGAGCTGAGGTCCACAATTTGTTCCCCTCCCTGCTCCAGACCCTCTGGACATCCTGGCTTAACACAAATCAAGATACTGCATCTGAGTATACGCCATACTCCAAGATGAGGCTTATCCCTTCCATCCTGGGACATAAGAGGATGCTTGTAGGTGAATTTTCTATCTTAGGAGGAAGACAGCAACTCACCTGATCTCATGCCATCTATGGGACTGGCAAGACCCGAGATACTATAGAAAAAGGCAAATGCAAAACAAAACACATTCATGAAGTCAAACAGTGATGCGAAGAACATGCCAGAGGTCAAACTGTGAAGGGCAGGTGAAGTATCCCAAAGAGGTTGCTTGCTGCTAGAAGACTGTGGGAATGAGCTTGAGTACAGATGGCCTTCAGTTTGTGCAAGGATACCAATGACTTTCACTGCCCCTATGTCTTATTTTGAGACCTTCACGGCACTCCAGACCTTACCCACACAGTATATTTTCTGTCTCCTGATGGATCTGATGCAGTCAGTCATGGTTAGACGTTCTGACTACTAACCAGCTAGCAAGGTATATGTATTCAGGTCACCATCGAACTTGCATCTGACTTAAAACATTGCAGAAATACCGTCTGGAGTCTACGTGAAAAGGGAGTCAGAGCTTTCCTTGACTCCTAAATCATGACCAGGCTGTCTCCAGAGATCTCTGTTGCAGCTGCATACATTAATGGAGGTGAAATCCCAGCACTGGTGGAGAGAAAACTATCCTCTCTTAGCTTCCCTCCTGATGCATGTGTGTGAATACAGCAAGAACCAGTGCATCAGGCTGTTTTTAAATGGGTAGATTTAAAATCAGACATCACTACTGTGTCATGGCAGCGTGAGAGTGATGCTGTAGCCACGACAGCCCAGAAATGATGTGAGAGACAAGGATTATACAAAGGGTCCAATAAAAGATGTCACCCTAAAGTGACTTGATGAAGAACATCCTGCATTCAGGGGCTTGTCAACTCAATCCCAAATATACAAGTGGTCCAATGAAAAATATCACTCTGGAAATCCTTGCCTCTTGCACTTCACTGCTGGCCTGCTTGCTTGTAACCCCATACTAGCTGTTCCCAGGAAGGACTCAGATCTTGCCACGTACCTCAGCCTGTAGCCCGTCGGTTTGAACCCACACAGCCCGCAGAAGCTGGATGGCAGGCGGATGCTCCCAGCAACATCTGACCCAAAGCCCAGGATGGACCCTCCTCCTGCGATCAGTGCTCCCTCCCCTCCGGAGGAGCCGCCGGGGCTTTTCTTATGGTTGTGAGGATTCACTGTTTGGCCGAAGATGACGTTACTGCAGTCATAGCTGGGAGAGGTCCAAAGGGATAAGCTGGTTATTAGCATCTTTTGGGGTGTTTGTTCAATCACCCAGCAAAACAGGGCTTGGATCTTAGGGGAGACCTTGCCAGGACTGCTTGCAAACCTCTCTGACCTGCTCAACTATGCAGACCTGATAAAACCATCCATGCTGGGCAGGTCAAAGGGTAGAGGCCGGTCAAGAAGTAATCTCTGGGCCTTCCAGATTACAGCTCACTATGGGCTGCCCCAGGTACAGCAGCTGAACAGATAAGTCTTGTGGTCAAGAAGTCAAAAATCAAGGGTTGTGAAGGTCAGTCTGAGCTCAGAGGATCATCTCATCCTCACTAGGGAAGACTTGAGAACAAGTGTGGGCTTTACTTATTGAGGCCCCTTTTGCTAGGCTGGTGACTGCCTCTATGATCTAATGATATGAGTGGGCAGGAAGAGTTCAGTAACACCTGAATAAAGAGCGCCAAAGTCTTACTTGATCATGGACTGTGAAGTGTTGGTCTTCACAAACGGAATCGCTCCCTGCCTCTTTAAAACCTTGACTAATACACTGTCGTCTTCCTCCGGGGACCCGAGGTAATGGATCAAGCCGCAGGTGGAGACATGGCCCTGGGAAGCCAAGGGACATAGAGACATGGGCCACACGTCCTTTGGATCTGCTCCATTTTTACCATTTTAAAAGCACAAGCCATTAGGAGCATAGCACTGGGATGGATCAGGTGGGTCATTGTGTCCAATCCCGTGATAGCAGGAGCTATGTAAGGGACATTTCTCCAAAAGGGTTCACAAGAGTATTCACTCTGGCCTCCCCCAGCTACAGCCATAAAGTACCCCCAACAAACTGAGGATCTTTAGTACAAACCCCAAGAGCAGCAACAAAACCCTTACAATAAAGTAAAGGAAGAGCAGAGGGGGCCGGGGGGGGGGGGGGGGCAAGGGCACTGCCAATGCATTGGCTACTGCCAGGGTGGTGGATTTGTTAGGTTGAAATATGATGATGGCCCTTGTTGCAGAGGGCTGTACTCGTGGCTCCTGAAGTAGGCAAAAATCCCTCAAGAGTCCAAAGGGGAGAGGGAGGGGAAATCCTTCCTGACCACAAATCTGCTGATTGGTTTAATCTCTAAGAATAAGAGCAAGATCTACCCTGAGAGTTGTCTCATACTGTTTGGAGCACCATCACATTCAAGCCAATCTCTCACCTAGCCACAGCCAGTGTCT